CACGGAAAATGCTCTGAAGAGTTGGCACGTATAATTCCACCGAGAGTAGCACCTACCAGGCGAACCCGTCAAACAAACGGTAACCATGAATTTACTGTCAAACTAGAGGCACCAAGAACCTCATTATATCAGAATTCATATCTCTGGAGAACAGCATCGCTGTGGAATAAACTCCCTGCGACGGTTTTCCCTGCAGGTTACAACCTGAACCGTTTCAAGACCAACATACACCGACATTTCCGCGCACTTGCCGCTTCTCGAGCGTGATAGGACATTTCCTTGCGAGTGCGCATATCCGTAAAAAAAAAAAAAAAAAAAAAAAAAAAAAAAAAAAAAAAAAAAAAAAAAAAATGGCAGAGTTTATACCTTGTTCTGCGCATTCCTTAAACCTGGTCAGAGTAGAAGCTGCAAGTTTATTACCGGAACTCGTTGATTATTTTGGTATTTTACAAAAACTCTACGTGTTGTTTTCAGGTTCACCACATAGGTGGAATGTTCTAAATAGTTTTACAAACTTACAATATACTTTAAAATCGTTGAGTATAACAAGATAGTGTGCTCACTATGAAGCTGTAAGAGCCTTGGCACATGGATACAGCGAAATTATGAAAGCATTAAAGCAAATCATTATGAATGAAACTGAAAAGGCTGATTTTAGGAATGAGGCTAAAAATGTATTCAATAAATTATCAAAAATAGAATATGCAATGCTAACATCAATTTGGAATAAAATTTTGGACCGCTTCAATAAAGTATCTGCTCGGTTACAGACCCCTGGCTTAAACGTACAGGAAGGATATAATCTGATATGCTCTTTAAGTTTATTTATAAAAGAGATACGAAAAAATTCAGAAAAGGAAACTACTGAATTAGAAACGACAGCAATAAACATGAGCGAAGACGTCGATAATGTGTATTCGGATTTAAAATCAAGAAGGAGAAAAATTGTACTTGCAGATAAAGAAATTCAAAGCACATGTTTTGCTGGTAGAGAGAAGTTCCGGATAAATGTCCTCAACAGGTTTTAGATTGTTTATCTACTGAACTAGATCGACGAAGCACTGCCTATCAAGATGTAGTGGAAAAATTTCAACCACTTTTTGATTTAGGTAGTCCTCTGAAAGAGGAAATAATTGAAAAGGATCTGAGAATCCTTTTGGATTCTTACTCTGATGATCTTGATGCAGAATTAATAAATGAAATCAAGCAATTCAAACAGTATTTAAAAATTTCTATCAAATCCGACAATATTATCAGTTGTTCAGAAATGTTAGGCATACTATATGACAAAAATATGACTGATATTTTTCCAAATTTAAATATTGCACTAAAATTATTTTTAACAATTCCTATCACAAGTTGTGAAGCAGAGAGGTCATTTTCCAAACTCACAATTATTAAAAATAAATACAGAACTGTGATGACGGAAAAAAGGCTCCAATACTTAGGTATTTTGTCAATTGAAAATGACCTAACTGCTTCAATAGCCTTTGACGATACAATAAAGCAATTTGCAAATGCTAAGGTACGCCGGCAAAATTTTCAATATACTAGTATTAAAACTATTTAACCTGTGTTGGTCAAAAAGCTTATAGTCCCCAGTACATCGACCCTAAAATTTTGTAACTCATGTACACGCCAAACTTCCTGAGCGGCTTCATAACACCAAGTCGGACAATATTTTTCATGTCTCCACCCCGGGCGATGGGACATTTTCGCGCTAGCTCTTCGTGAAGTTGTCGTTCTGACGTCTCTAAGGAAGTTGATACATGTACGTGTAGTTTTAATGCCAATCGACTGTTTTTGACATTATATTAACGATATCACATTTGTCGGACAAAAACCATGTGGCTTTGGGGAAGGTCCGACGCTCTCAACATGTGGCTGTGGCGTCCCCGAGGAAGTTGATACATGTACGTGTGGTTTTGATGCCAATCGACTGTTTTTTATGTTACATTATTGATATCACATATGTCGGACAAAAATCACGTGGCTTTGGGTGGATCCGACGCCCCCAACATGTCGCTGTAGCGCCCCTAAGGAAGTTGATACATGTATGTCCGACAAAAATAATTATGAGTAACAATGTAATTTTAAAACATGTGTAGTAAATGTCGGACAAAAAGAATGAGTATTAAAGTCAGTCGGACAACAAAAGTCCTTTTGATCAATTTCTGCCGAAATTCAGGATCTCTACTCCTGAGATCGCACAAAAAACACGACAGAATATCCATTCTTTTTCAAACGCGTGGTTTTCAACGACCGTTCACTAGATCATTCCCGTAAATACTCGGAGAATTATCCAAAAAAAACAGATCAGCGAATATGACACAGGTCCCCACAGGTATTTGACAAAGTAGGTAAATAATAAATTGACTAATATGCACATTGCTTAAAGGCAAACTAATTTTAATTTTTTCATTGATTGTCTCAAATTTCTTGTCCGACAAATGTGATATCGGTAATGTAATGTAAAAAGCCGTCGATTGGTATTAAAAACACACGTACATGTATCAACTTTCTCAGGGACGCCACAGCGACATGTTGAGAGCGTCGGACCCCTCCGAAGCCACGTGATTTTTGTCCGACATATATGATATCGTTAATGTAATACAAAAAATAATCGATTGGCATTAAAACTACACGTACATGTACCAACTTCCTTAGGGACGCCACAGCGACATGTTGGGGGTGTCGGACCTTCCCCAAAGCCACATGGTTTTTGTCCGACAAATGTGATATCGTTAATATAATGTCAAAAACAGTCGATTGGCATTAAAACTACACGTACATGTATCAACTTCCTTAGGGACGTCAGAACGACAACTTCACGAAGAGCTAGCGCGGCAATGTCCCATCGCCCAAGGTGGAGATATGAAAAATATTGTCCGACTTGGTGTTAGGAAGCCGCTCAGGAAGTTTGGCGTGTACATGAGTTACAAAATTTTTAGGTCGATGTACTGGGGACTATTATTTAATGGATTTTGGTATTTTAGTTTATTAGTATACTATCGTAAAACAACATATTTTTAGTTTAAGTTATGAGTAGAGTAGGATCTTCATCTCTTTTTTTCTTTGGATATGGAATATTTTATTTTAGGTTCTTAAAGTAATGAAATAATTTTTTAGGTTTGCATATTTATAAGTTTGACGTTCCTTTTTTGTTTTTATAAATTGGGGCAAGTTTTTAAATTCACCAATTGCTTATGCGCATCCATCGACAATTCACCTAAGCGTTCTTAAATGACCCGATGGAATTGCGATGGAACTAATCGGAGCGTTTTTATAACATGCGCACTTTAATGCGTTTCTACATCGCATCCATCGGTTCAAAAGTTCGATGGAAATGATGAAAAACAAAAAGTTGAGGTTAGGTAAAGATTTGTTTACCTTTACGGCTTTGCCATAATATTTACAGTCCTATCCTACCAGTTCTATAATTCTAATAATAATCCAACTAATTATTGTACAAAAATGGAATTAGTTCTTGTTTCTAAAATACTGCAAGATACAAGCAGCAGTAGTAGTAGCAGCTCTAGCAGCAGTAGCGAAAGTGATGAGGAAATAATAATAATAATGAAAAAAAAGAGGAAAACGCACATTAAAAATAAAAATTATGTGGACTCGATTGTGCGAAACTATAATCTAGATGATTTCAAAAGCCATTTCAGGCTTAGTAGAGGAACTGTTGAGGTAAGTGTGACTAGTGGACCTGCTTCGACAATTCAACAATAAAAGGATGTATAGTGAACGTCTAACTAACCACTTCCTAATAATGTACCTGAAATAATTATTACTAAGTATTTTTTTTTTGTTTTAGAATTTTTTGCTAGAAAATAATTTTGGTAATATTCAAGTAACACGAGGAAGGCCTAAAATTCCAGTACTGGATTGCCTGCTTCTTACTTTATGGCTATTAGCCAATCAAGAAAGTTTCCGAAGTGCTGGTGATAGATTTTCGTTCAGTAAAGGCCATGCGCATACCATTTTTATACAAATGTGTAAGCTCATTGCAGCTCAAACAAAAAAGTATATAAAATGGCCAACTGGAAACGAAGCACTTAAGAATATTCACAATTTCAAGAAATTACGAGAATCATCATTTCCAAATGTTTTTGGGTGTATAGATGGATCCCATATTCCCATTCCAGGTCCATTAGCAGATAATTCCTATTATAATAGGAAAGGTTTCCATTCCATCCAGTTGCAAGCTATATGCAACTCTAAACAAGAATTTATTGATGTTTTTAGTGGTTGGCCTGGCTCAGTACATGATTCGAGGGTATGGCAAAATTCACCCATATATAATAAAATATTATGCAATAGGAATGAAATGCTTCCAAATGATTCCTATTTATTGGGAAACAGTGCTTACCCTCTAAGCACTTTTTTAATGACTCCTTTCCGAGATAATGGGCACCTTACCAGACAACAAAAACTATTCAATTTCAGGCTAAGTAGTGTAAGAGTGGCAATTGAACAAAGTTTTGGTCGATTGAAGGGAATATTTCGTAGACTTCGATATCTTCATGTACTTAATTTATCTTACACTAAATTTATAATCTTTACTGCATGTATTTTTCATAACATAATTATTCAAAGTCAGGAGGATGGTATGGAAGAAGACTATGAAATGGATGAGCATGAAGATGAAAATCCAATCGATATGCAACAACCTGTTAATAATGAAGCTGAGCAGATAAGACAAAATATTATGCAAGGTTTACAATGAGATAATTACAATAGGGGCCAGTTTCTCAATAGTGAGTCACCTCTGGGTTGGTTTTGACTACAGGGCTCGCTACAGGGTAAATGTGTCCAGTTGCAATATTTACCCTGGAGTTATGCTCAACCCAGGGATGACTTGCTATTGAGAAACTGGCCCTAGATTTTATAAAAATAGAAAATAATATTTAACTGTTACATTGTGTACCCAATGCTCTAGAAATAAATTGGTAACATTCCATTCCCAGATGAATTTTATGTGTTTTGCTTGAAAGAAAGTATCATACTTAGCTTAAAATTTATTTCAGAAAGGTATCTTAAACAATTCAAATTTAATTTTATTTCATGCAGAAGTAAAACAGCTTAAAAAGTTGATAAACCAATTTAAAAAAAATGCAATAAAAATTTTAAAAAAAAATATATATTCAATAATATTTTTAGTGTCACTATACTGTAACAGAACGAACATTAAACATTAAAGAAAACAGGAACGCATTGATGATTATTCTAAAAACTAATATGGGTAAATAGGTAGGTATCTAAAAAAATGAATTTGGAATGCCTAGTCTTTTTTCTGCTTGGCAATTGCCTCTGCCAATTTTTCTATAGCTTCAATTTCTCTTGCTTTCAAGGCTCGCTTTTCTTTCCAGCGTTCGTCTTTTCCTTTTTCTTTCTCTAACCTTTTCTCCTTATCTTCTATTTGCTTTTGAAATAAATATTCACCAATATCAATAGACCTTTTACGTTTCTTATTTCTTTCCCTATTATTTTTTAAATTCTCAACCAGAGGTTGAGGTCCCCCGTTCAGCCCCTTCTCTTCAGTTTCTGATTCAGTCGCATCAGTTTCATTCACTGTTGAAGCCTCACTTATGCTGTCCACACTTCCTAATACTTCCCTGTGGGGCAGAATGTTAGATTTACATCCTAATATTTCATCAAACATTTTATAAAATTCCCATGAAATGCACCCCTCTCCACTTTGTTGGGATTTTTTTTTATTTATTTTATAAGTACTTAGTAGGTTACGATATTTTATATCACACATTTCGCTGGTAACAAATTTCCCAGTTTTGGTTTTGATTTCACATGCAATTTGCTCCCAAAGCTTTTTTTTCTTACATATTGGCCGATTAAAATCTTTTTCTTTTTTCAATCTCAGGTCAATTAACATAAGAGTCAGTGATTGAGTCCATTTGAAAACGTTTTCAGTGTTAGTTGTCCCAGTACTAGTACTTGGCCCTAGAAAAAAAATCAATGTAGGTAAAGCCTAGATAGCTAAAAACCAAGATATCCACTACTCACTCACCCCTTATCAGCTCAGAAAAATTCCCATCACTGGTCAAATCACTAGTGCTGGTACTTGGTCCTGGTAAATTAATATCTGATTCACTAATTGATTCATTATTCGTCATAATGTCGCGAACTTGTTCGGCATAGCTGCTCAACTTATTTGGATCTAAAAAAGAAATGAGGAAAATTGAATGTTAAACCTAAATAGGTACCAACAAACTGCTTACCATTAATTAGTTCCAGGTAGGTTTCATCGTCAACCATCACATTAAAGTAATTGCCATCACAGCATAACTGGAGGGAATTCATTTTTTTCACAGTTCTGCACTACACGGCAGAGTAAATAAATGTGAAAAATATTATCACCACCAAACCAGATAAAAAATGTTTTGATTGTTTTGGTTTCGGCTTTCTGTTTGACACATGACCGTCGCGATAGTTCCATTCAAACGTTTTTTTAAATTCCATCCAGCGGATCAATCCATCGGAATCTATGACGTCATTTGACATAAAGCGCATAAATCATTGATGGAAAAATGGTTGAATTTAAAAACTTGCCCTTGCATATTTTATTTTTTGATATTTTTGTATATGTGAAGTCTACTATACTATCTTGTATTTATTTTTGTTCAGATAAAAAGTTTTGGAATTGTTACGAATATTTTTTTCGTTTGACTTGTGATCTTGTCTCACATGTTCTTAATAAACTTGTTTTTTAATTAAATTTGTTTTTATATTTGGCTTTAAGAAACTTCAAAAATATAAATCACTTTCGCAGACTCATCTCACACCCCAACACCACAAGAAAAATACCTAAAAGAAACATAACAGGGCCCCAAAAATTTTTTGCGTCGGGCCCCAAAGGCCCTAGGTCCGCCACTGGTATAGAGGGAAGATTGTAAGACTGTGCTTTTGTGAATCCTTTATCAACCTAACCATGATGAAGGATTTAACACACGAAATGTCACAATACGGCACTAAATACGGAAACACCACGTAATAACTGCTTCCAATGCAGTCGAAGGTTGAAGCTGAGCGATTCTTTCTGAAAGTTTGCAAAGTGTCAGAGGCTCTTGTGAGAACAGACCTTAACGTCCTTAACGTTGTGTTTACAGACAGTTGACGTCACAAGTACTGCCATTTTGAAGGTTATCGTTTTCGCGCCAACGAAAATAATTTGAAATTTAAAATATTTTTTTAATTTTAATGAGGATCTAATACAAAAAAAAACCTATATATTTTATATTTGAAAACATAGGCAATAAGAAAAAAAATAATTTGAAAAATATGATTGTTCCCTATTGTCGTTTGCCTAACCATAACTACCGCAGTGAAGTTGGCAGCCAATGTTTAGCAGCCAATCTTCCGGAAACACCCGAATCACCAGTGCCGTGCGTTTTTTTTTAAATTAACAAGTTCGATCAATAAATGAAATGTTTTTACAAAAAAATAAAATAACACACAGTATAATTAAGACTGATGGTTTTATAAATATTTTAGCATTTTGAAATTCTATTTTGTACTAAACACAAGGTAGACGTAAGTATTCTATTGAAATTAATGTTATAATAGAGTTGTGCTTTCTTATTAATTTGATCCGAAATCACTGAAAATTGTATGTGGGGGTGGCTTAGGGGTGAAATCCAATAAAATCTAGTTTGTTTTAAGACATAATATTGTTTTTCTCATCTAATTGATTCGTAGCCACTGAAAACTGTATGTAGGATTATTAGAGATGATTTTCTGAATATTTTACTGTTCTCCAATTTTCTTGCAAGGCCGTACAGGGCTGGCTTAGGGGTGAAATCCAATGAAATCTAGTTTGTCAGAAGACATATAATATTGTTTTTCTTATCTAATTGATCCGTAGCCACTGAAAACTGTATGTAGGATTATTAGAGATGATTTTCTGAATATTTTACTGTTCTCCAATTTTCTTGCAAGGCCGTACAGGGCTGGCTTAGGGGTGAAATCCAATGAAATCTAGTGTGCCAAAAGACATATAATATTGTTTTTCTCATTTAATTGATCCGTAGCCACTGAAAACTGTATGTAGGATTATTAGAGATGATTTTCTGAATATTTTACTGTTCTCCAATTTTCTTGCAAGGCCGTACAAGGCTGGCTTAGGGTTGAAATCCAATGAAATCTAGTGTGCCAAAAGACATATAATATTGTTTTTCTCATCTAATTGATCCGTAGCCACTGAAAACTGTATGTAGGATTATTAGAGATGATTTTCTGAATATTTTACTGTTCTCCAATTTTCTTGCTAGGCCGTACAGGGCTGGCTTTGGGGTGAAATCTAATAAAAACTACTTTGTTAAAAGACATATAGTATTGTTTTTCTCATCTAATTGATTCGTAGCCACTGAAAACTCCATGTAGGATTATTGAAGATGATTTTCTTAATATTCTAGCGTTCTCCAATTTTCTTGCAAGGCCGTACAGGGCTGGCTTTGGGGTGAAATCCAATAAAAACTACTTCTTTAGAAGACATATAATATTGTTTTTCTCATCTTATTGATCCGTAGCCACTGAAAACTGTATGTAGGATTATTAGAGATGATTTTCTGAATATTTTAATGTTCTCCAATTTTCTTGCTAGGCCGTACAGGGCTGGCTTAGGGGTGAAACCCAATGAAATCTAGTTTGTCAAAAGACATATAATATTGTTTTTCTCATCTAATTGATCCGTAGCCACTGAAAACTCTATGTAGGATTATTGAAGATGATTTTCTTAATATTCTAGCGTTCTCCAATTTTCTTGCAAGGCCGTACAGGGCTGGCTTAGGGGTGAAATCCAATGAAATCTAGTTTGTCAGAAGACATATAATATTTTTTTTCTTATCTAATTGATCCGTAGCCACTGAAAACTGTATGTAGGATTATTAGAGATGATTTTCTGAATATTTCAATGTTCTCCAATTTTCTTGCTAGGCCGTACAGGGCTGGCTTTGGGGTGAAATCCAATAAAAACTACTTTTTTAGAAGACATATAATATTGTTTTTCTTATCTAATTGATCCGTAGCCACTGAAAACTGTCTGTAGGATTATTAGAGATGATTTTCTGAATATTTTACTGTTCTCCAATTTTCTTGCTAGGCCGTACAGGGCTGGCTTAGGGGTGAAATCCAATGAAATCTAGTTTGTCAGAAGACATATAATATTGTTTTTCTTATCTAATTGATCCGTAGCCACTGAAAACTGTCTGTAGGATTATTAGAGATGATTTTCTGAATATTTTACTGTTCTCCAATTTTCTTGCTAGGCCGTACAGGGCTGGCTTAGGGGTGAAATCCAATGAAATCTAGTTTGTCAGAAGACATATAATATTGTTTTTCTTATCTAATTGATCCGTAGCCACTGAAAACTGTATGTAGGATTATTAGAGATGATTTTCTGAATATTTTACTGTTATCCAATTTTCTTGCAAGGCCGTACAGGGCTGGCTTTGGGGTGAAATCCAATAAAAACTACTTTTTTAGAAGACATATAATATTGTTTTTCTCATCTTATTGATCCGTAGCCACTGAAAACTGTATGTAGGATTATTAGAGATGATTTTCTGAATATTTTAATGTTCTCCAATTTTCTTGCTAGGCCGTACAGGGCTGGCTTAGGGGTGAAATCCAATGAAATCTAGTTTGTCGGAAGACATATAATATTGTTTTTCTTATCTAATTGATCCGTAGCCACTGAAAACTGTATGTAGGATTATTAGAGATGATTTTCTGAATATTTTAATGTTCTCCAATTTTCTTGCTAGGCCGTACAGGGCTGGCTTTGGGGTGAAATCCAATGAAATCTAGTTTGTCAGAAGACATATAATATTGTTTTTCTTATCTAATTGATCCGTAGCCACTGAAAACTGTATGTAGGATTATTAGAGATGATTTTCTGAATATTTTACTGTTCTCCAATTTTCTTGCAAGGCCGTACAGGGCTGGCTCCTGGGTGAAATCCAATGAAATCTAGTGTGCCAAAAGACATATAATATTGTTTTTCTCATTTAATTGATCCGTAGCCACTGAAAACTGTATGTAGGATTATTAGAGATGATTTTCTGAATATTTTACTGTTCTCCAATTTTCTTGCAAGGCCGTACAAGGCTGGCTTAGGGGTGAAATCCGATGAAATCTAGTGTGCCAAAAGACATATAATATTGTTTTTCTCATCTAATTGATCCGTAGCCACTGAAAACTGTATGTAGGATTATTAGAGATGATTTTCTGAATATTTTACTGTTCTCCAATTTTCTTGCTAGGCCGTACAGGGCTGGCTTTGGGGTGAAATCTAATAAAAACTACTTTGTTAAAAGACATATAGTATTGTTTTTCTCATCTAATTGATTCGTAGCCACTGAAAACTCCATGTAGGATTATTGAAGATGATTTTCTTAATATTCTAGCGTTCTCCAATTTTCTTGCAAGGCCGTACAGGGCTGGCTTTGGGGTGAAATCCAATAAAAACTACTTTTTTAGAAGACATATAATATTGTTTTTCTCATCTTATTGATCCGTAGCCACTGAAAACTGTATGTAGGATTATTAGAGATGATTTTCTGAATATTTTAATGTTCTCCAATTTTCTTGCTAGGCCGTACAGGGCTGGCTTTGGGGTGAAATCCAATGAAATCTAGTTTGTCAGAAGACATATAATATTGTTTTTCTTATCTAATTGATCCGTAGCCACTGAAAACTGTCTGTAGGATTATTAGAGATGATTTTCTGAATATTTTACTGTTCTCCAATTTTCTTGCTAGGCCGTACAGGGCTGGCTTAGGGGTGAAATCCAATGAAATCTAGTTTGTCAGAAGACATATAATATTGTTTTTCTTATCTAATTGATCCGTAGCCACTGAAAACTGTATGTAGGATTATTAGAGATGATTTTCTGAATATTTTAATGTTCTCCAATTTTCTTGCTAGGCCGTACAGGGCTGGCTTTGGGGTGAAATCCAATAAAAACTACTTTGTTAGAAGACATATAATATTGTTTTTCTCATCTTATTGATCCGTAGCCACTGAAAACTGTATGTAGGATTATTAGAGATGATTTTCTGAATATTTTAATGTTCTCCAATTTTCTTGCTAGGCTGTACAGGGCTGGCTTTGGGGTGAAATCCAATAAAAACTACTTTGTTAGAAGACATATAATATTGTTTTTCTCATCTTATTGATCCGTAGCCACTGAAAACTGTATGTAGGATTATTAGAGATGATTTTCTGAATATTTTAATGTTCTCCAATTTTCTTGCTAGGCCGTACAGGGCTGGCTTAGGGGTGAAACCCAATAAAAACTACTTTGTTAGAAGACATATAATATTGCTTTTCTCATCTTATTGATCCGTAGCCACTGAAAACTG